CTGAATATGCAACAAATATGTTGCATTTCCCACATGTGCATCTTTCATATTTTGATCTATACATTTCATCCAAATGTTATTTTAAGAATTCTGAAAGTGTAATGTTTACAAATTAAATGATTGCATTTTCCAGTTCAAACCGAAATTCCGTTTATGTTTGCTCTCAGTTGGAATCGTTCATTGATGTTCGGTGTTTATTGGAAACCAGTTATAGAACTCATTCTGTCATTGCTTGGAAGCATGTGAAGTGGCGTAGGGATTGAACGTGGATTCGCTTAAGGCTAGTATTTATCAATGGAGTAATTTAACTCTGCCATACATTTTTATTCCGTCGACTGGTAATCAGTTCATTTAGTGATCACTTTTACAAGATTCGACTAGTGACCACTTTCATCCCATGTGGTTTAGAAGGTGAGTGAAGTCAACAACGATTAACAAATTCACCATGAAACAGCCGGATGCCGAGCAAGACTTCTTTATAAAATGTCCTTTGTGATAGTGTGAGAGACGAGAAAACGCGAAATAGTTCTAGATCTTTACAATATACTGATGGTAACTGACCGAAGTTCGACCAAATTCAAAAATTGGAATTCTGAGCGAATAATTTCGAAATTCATTAGGAATACTCATTTTCAGAATCTCAAAAAAAAGAAAGAATTCGGTCGGATTCCAAAGGAAAACTTTGAAGTCGGTCAAAATTTTCGGGTTCAAACACAAATTTCGTTCGTTTATCACTCCTACCAGAATTTTATGTTAAAGATCATCGTTTTCGACGCCTAATACGGCGGTCGTACTGGTAGAGCGTTCCTTTAACTCTTCATAAAATACCAATTATTAGGAGAAAATTGCTTAAGTGTTACGCATATAGAAACGGAAGTTTGAAGTATAAGTCAAAATCTGGATACATTTCGAAACTTCAACGATTCTAACTGGATGCCATTTCTCACTGTAATAGTGAGAAAGTTTAAAGCATGATTGCATGGCATTCAGAAAACTTTTTGATAATTCACTGAACTTGATCGGAATCCTACCGAACCCAGACATTCTGACCGCCTTCAAAGTATTCTTTTCGAATCCAACTGAATTCTTCTTACTTTTTGAAGATGAAGTTGGAAATATATTTAAAAGGTTCCTCTCAAATATACTTCCGATCGCTGACATTTGAGCGCATATTTAAACGCAACGAATAGTTTTTCGAAAATTTTATTTCGAAGCAACAGTTCGATATGCACATTTGAAGTTATACAATCTTGCTTCATAATCGTTTCTTTACTCATTGAACATAAACACAACAAACAAAGAAATTCAAAATTTCTTGTGAAGGAACCATATGAATTCATTTGTACAGTGTTTTACAGCGATGAAAGAATAAATCGACCGAATTGATTCATCAATTGCTGCTGTGATTCAATGAGTGCGAGAGAAATTGTTGAGAAACGAGAGATCGAGTGATCACGTCGGTGTTGATGACAACCACTGAACAAATCACTTCCCAAACATACCCAACATACCAAGGTCTTCTCCAAGTTCGGCGCCGAGCCGTGCTCCCATCATTTCGTCATATCGTCTGGAATTTCAGCTCCAGTAAAGTTCCATACTTAGATGATTCATACAAGTCGACTCAACTAATGATTCGAAGAGACTTGAATATTCTCAGTGGTAAGATGAAAATTGCAGACAGAAAATTATTTAGGTCATACTGTGAATTGAAAAATGATATCTGAGTTATTCACTAAACTGATTTTGAATGTTGAGAGCAGTGATTATGATTGATTCATATTATTATCGTATGATCGATTATGAGAAATCACAATGAAGGATAATGAATCGTTCCTGTATTTGCTGAGTGTCAAAAGGTTTGGTTATTGCTTTCTTCAGAAAACGAACAATATTTTCTTGTAACTTACACTTCTCCTAATCCACCATAGCCACCATATCCACCATAACCACCATATCCACCGTATCCACCATAACCACCATATCCACCGTAGCCACCGTAAGGACCGTATCCACCAAAGAATTGTCCAGTACTTGACTGGATAAACAGGATTACACAAACGAGCACGATTGGACAAAACATCTCTCTTCAAATGACACATGTAACAAAATGTGTTCGGAGGAACTTTCTTTGGGTATGCAAGAACAATCGGTAGGAAGTATTATAAATTCAACAAGAATCAAAAAACGAATGAAACAATCTTGGTGATATGCATAATTGGAAAATAAATATCTATAGTAAGAGGCTTGAATTATCAATAATGATTGAATAAGAATTTGCTTTCAGAAGGTTTCAGTTCACATGAACATTCACCATTACTCATTGTCGACGCAATGTCTATCACCTAAGTTGTTTTGACTATGGGAGGAATCATATGAACAGCATAAACGATTGAAGTGGGTACATGCTGGGTCTATGTACCGCTAACAATGTCTGATGGTTTGCTTCAGTCGGCTTTATAAGCAACCCGGGAGAGTCCTCAATTCAAAATAATTCGAGTACAGTTCGAAGAAGATTGCTACGCCAAACGACAGAACAACAGCACACACATTCAGCGGTTAGTGCACCGGAACAACAACTTTTCTTCAGAGATTGTCGTCACATCACTCTGTTTTTTAGAATTTGCATCATTAATCATGTTCATTATGGTTCATTCAAACAACCAGCTTGTGAAAAGTGAAACGAAGAAAAAACAAATGATAGTTATTAAACGGCGTCACATTTCATTTCTTCTTCAACAAGCAGCGAAATGATCGCATAAAGACATGAAGATTCGAAAGTACAAGGTTCAAAACGAAGTCTTACATTCAATGACGTAAACATTACATGGGACTATCAGTTCAAAATCTATCAGAGTGACATTAAAATGTTCTGTGAGCAACATCAATTCTCTGGTAATGTCGTCAATGGTAATCATTCATGCGATTCGTCAAATTATCATTTATTATATTATCTGTTTGGCGAATTTAAAAAAAAACCAGCATCACTCATCGGAAGTCATGAATCAGAAAAATTCTCAAAAATCATCTCAATTTGACCGACATCACCTAATCACTGCGCATTTCTCTTGATGAAATTGCTCAAATTGTTACTATTGCTATGGGAAATCCTCCCTTCAAGCAGAAATAACTGCATTCGGTGATCGCNACTCACCTAAAGAGACTACCCCCGCCAAATCAACAAAAGCCCGTTCGTACGCAAGTGTTGCCTCATCATCTTTATCTTCAACTCCTGATCCTGTGGCTATTGCCATCCATGTAAAGGCTATTGAAGAAGACCGCATAAACCAATCACGCCAGAAATGCTTGCTGATTCATAATATTTCTGAGCAAAATTCTGATACTGCTACTGAAAAATTTGACGCCACTATTGCAAATGACTTAGCAATTTCTGCAAGCGTCAAACGAAATTCTGTGAAGAGGGTTTCTCGCATTGGCCGGAAAGTGTCGGATCGACCAAGACCATTGAAAATCGAGGCCGTCTCCCTCGAAACTTCGAAGACTCTCGTGCGATATTTCAGGACGTTTCGCAGCACTCGGGAAGACCTAAAAATTGCAAGGCTGGTCTGGATTATTCGGAGCCAATTCTGGAAATGTACCGAAATCTATGGAAAACAGCGCCGGAGCGAAACGCGAAAGAAGGTGTAATGCGTTGGATCGTGTCGGACGATGTAAAGCCCGTCGAAATCAAGCAAAATCGACAGCCACACGAAACCCGTCGCGGAACACCCAAAAACAACCGGAAATAGGTTCGAATGTGAAATGCGCTTTATCAAATTGCCAATCGATTAGAACAACATTGATTTGTTAGAATTTTTTGCATTTCAAAATGATTTAGATTTATTATTTTAAACAGAAACTTGGTGTAATGTCTCTATCACATCAGTATAATGTATTTCGTTGTGACAGAAAAGATGGCGGCGTTTGCGTACTTTCTCGCAAGCGAAATCAAGCTGCCTGTATGGCTCAGTCACATGACACCAGCCATAATGAACGTATAATCGTTGACCTTTTCTGCGCATCATCATCCTCGAGGATTAGAACCATTCTGATATATCACCCAAATCACAATAATGTTCCATATGATTATCTTTCTGACTCCATTACTGATTATATTAATGCTTCTCAATTTCCATCCATCGTTCTCGGAGATTTTAACGCACCTCACATAAATTGGAATGATAACACCGCAGCTGATAATAACTGTAGAAAAATACTGCACTTTGCACAAACAAACTCACTGACACAATTGGTCAACTCACCCACGC